AAGAAGAAGAAGAAGAAGAAGAAGAAGAAGAAGAAGAAGAAGAAGAAACCCAGCTTCTTCCACTCTTACTTTCTTTCTCATATCCTAAGAATTTGTTCATCTTAGCCAAAAATCTGTATCACGTAAATTTAGTAAACACAGATCTCTTTTGGAGAAAGCTGCTCAAAGCCCCATCCCCTCCTACCTAGCACGGTTACTCCCAGACAGGAGCTGCACAGATATTGTAAATGTCTTTCTTTTGAAACTTGTTTATTAGTTAAAATTCACACTTACATACAATACATTCTGATGATTCTCTCTCCCCACTTATCTCCTCCCACCTCAACCTTACATATCCCTTTCCTACGTTAAAGTCTCCGTAACTTTTTTCAGTTCATCACGTCAGTATTTGTATATGAGTCTTAACTATTTTGATGCAAGCTCTTAGTCCCACCTCTCAGTAAACATCCACCTTAGCCCTAATTTAAATCAAAATCCACAAGCACATTTAAAAAAAAATGCAGCACAAAGATGAGAAAAGAGCTAATAGCGCAGACTAATGAGCTGAGGCATGTGTCTGTGGATCAGCTCTGAGACCCTGCATCTGTCTTTGAGGCTAGCTGCCTAGGACTACTTCACCGCCGTGCTGTTAATTATTTAGGTGAGAGAAGACGGGGGCCCCATCACCACATCTGTCACCCTCACACAGGAAAAGCCTTCCTTCACTGATGGGCCAGATGTGTTCAGCTGAAACACAGACTAACTAGCTATTTAATGGGTTTGAAATCCTTAGCCAAAAGGTAATTAGGCAAACATATTAAGCATCAGTCACCTTACAAGGCTAAACTCTTTCAGTTCTGTGGATTTTAATTCAATCTTGGGAGAGCTGGTCACCTACAAAAGGTCGGTGAAAAGAACAAGGCAAAGGAAAGAGTCTGAATTATGCGTGACATACTAAGTAGAACAAATAATCACAGTTCCCAGCACCCAGGATATTTATAAAATTCTCTAAAACTTTGCCTCAATGATAAGCTAGAGTACGAAACTAAAATAAAATAAAATAGGACAAAAGCAATTCTTTTAGATGAATCTCTGTCCCCAAACATTTCACCTATAGGTAAAATATTAATATCAAAAGCTAAAATAAATGATGGCTTTGCATTCACAATATTTACCATTATGTGTGAGTTTTGTTTTTGTTTTTTTAACCATATATCTAAAGTATTTACCCTGTCTGGAAAGCATTAAAGAATGTCAGTGGTGGCTATGACACACTATTCAAAGGAAGAGAGAAAACACCAAGGCCTGGGAGAAAGCCGGTAAAAGTGCCTGCTGCCAAGCCTGAGTACCTGAGTTTGATCCCCAGGCCCCACATGACGTAAGAGGAGCTAAAAGCTGTCCTGTGACTTCCATATACACCATGGCAGGTACATATGGGCACATGCACATAGTACACACACAAACGCACATATACAGAGAGAGAAACAAAAGTAAGAGTAAACGTATTTAAAAATTTAACTAATATCCAGAATATAATAAGTGTAGTTTCACTCTATAACTACATGAAAGAGTAAGCCGTCAAAATTCATTTATTTTTAAGTTTCATGATTTTCTGTTCTTGTCAATAGTATGTCACCATAACGTAAAATTCTGACCATTTTCTCCTAGCTGATACATGCCCTACTCATCAGAAATCTCTTAATTTTTTTTTATATTTGTTGATAAAAAATAAATATAAACTTAAACACCTTTCAACCATCGAATGCTTAGTAAATTTGCACTGTGGTAGGCACTGGGTAATGCAAGAGAGTCTACCAGAAACAAGCCTTACATCATTTATCCTAGCACAAAGAAAGCACAATAACCATTAAGGATTTGGGATAAAATTCAGAGCATGTAAAGGGAATTATAAATAAAAAGGTTGCTTGATCAGAGTAACAAAGAAGGGTTTTTACTTCACTGAGAAAATGACATATGAACAAGACTTAAGGAGGTAAGAGAACATTATTCCAAGCAGAAGGACCAACAAGGAGTATACTACTGATGGAAGTGTGAGCTAATGGGTTCAGAGACAGGAAAAGTGATAGTGTAGCCAAACCTAAGCAGAGAAACAATGAAGAGATGAGGCCTGCGAAGTGAGGGTTTGGTTCCTGTAGAACTGGAGGAAAGCACTGCCAAATCTCCTTTACCTTCTTATAAGATGAAGAACTTATTCCCAATAATCCTACCTGGAAGGATGACACAAGCTTATCTATTTCAATAGGATCACTGAAGTCAAGGGCAGAAACAGAAAGACCAACAGAGAGATTAATGATGCCAGCATGAGACAGCATGACCTTGTCTACATGGTAGTAGTGGGGGGAGAGCTAAGACTGAATCTTATAGTCTGAAATAAGTGCTGAATGAGTTCACTGATGAGTTGAACATAAAGTAAGAACAAATCTGTCAACAAAACAAAATGACAGCCTACAGACTGGGAAAAGATCTTCAGCAACCCTACATCTGAGAGTAGACTAATATTCATAATATATAAAGAACTCAAGAAGTTAAACACCAACAAACCAAGAAATCCAATTTAAAATCTGGTACAGAGCTAAACAGAGAACTCTGAAGAGAGGAATATTGAATGGCAGAGAAACACTTAAAGAAATGCTCAACGTCATTAGCCATCAGGGAAATGCAAATTTCCACTGTACACCCATTAGAATGGCTAAGATCAAAAACTCAAGAGACAACACATGCTGTAGAGGATGTGGAGAAAGGGGAACCCTCCTCCATTGCTGATGGGAATGTAAACTTGTACAACCACTGTGGAAATCAATCTGGGAGAGCTGGTCACCTACAAAAGGTCGGTGAAAAGAACAAGGCAAAGGAAAGAGTCTGAATTATGTGTGACATACTAAGTAGAACAAATAATCATAGTTCCCAGCATCCAGGATATTTATAAAATTCTCTAAAACTTTGCCTCAATGATAAGCTAGAGTACAAAACTAAACTAAAATAAAATAGGACAAAAGCAATTCTTTTAGATGAATCTCTGTCCCCAAACATTTCACCTATAGGTAAAATATTAATATCAAAAGCTAAATAAATGATGGCTGGTGCTTTTTCTGAAAATTATGAATAGTGCTACCTTACCATCCAGCTATCCTACTCCTGGGCATATATCTGAAAGTTGCTAAACCATATAACAAGGACATTTGCTCAACTGTGTTTATAGCAGCTTTATTCGTAGTAGCCAGAATCTGGGAACAATCTAGATGTCCCTCAATGGAGGAATGGATACAGAAATTTTGGTACATTTACACAACGGAATACTACTCATCAATTAAAAACAAGGAAATCATGAAATTTGCAGGCAAATGGTGGGACCTAGAAAGGTCATCCTGAGTGAGGTATCCCAGAAGCAAAAAGACACACATGGTATATACTCATTCTAAATGGATATTAGCCATATAATATAGGATAAACATACTAAGATCTATAGTCCTAAAGAAGCTGAACAACAAGGAGGACCCTAGGGAAGATGGTTAATTCAGAAGGGCAAACAGGATAGATATCGGAAGTAGGAGAAGACAGGGAACAGGACAGGAGCCTTCCACAGAGGGCCTCTAAAAGACTATACCCAGCAGGGTACTGAAGCAGACGCTGAGACTCATACCCAAACTTTGGACAGAGTGCAAGGAATCTTATGAAAGAAGGAGAAGATAGAAAGACCTGGAGAGAACAGTAGCTCCACAAGTTGAACAACAGAGACAAAACACCTGGACCCAGGGGGTCCTGCAGAGACTGATGAATCAACCAAAGACCATGTATGCAAAGGACCTAGCCCCCTACTCAGATGTAGCCCATGGGCAGCTCAGTCTCCATGGAGATTCCTAGAAAGGGGAGCAGGGGCAATCACTGGCATGAACTTGAATTCTACCGTACACTTGGGGAAAGATGAAGTCATGAAAAATTAAACTATCATAAAGTCCAACACCTGTCTAAATCAGTCATCACTGATACTTGGTTATAAAACTGAATAATAGTTGTACTTCTGCAGTTACATAATGTAGCCTTTTGAATCAATTTAAAAAAAAAAAACTGGTACTGCTTGATTTTGTTTGCATAAAAGGAAGTGTTCTTACATAGCTACGCAGAACAATTTCACAAAACCAAAAACTCACGCTGACTGCAAAACCCAGTCTCTTTAATTCCATGAAGGAAAATATAATCTTCATTGTGTGAACACTAATTTTGACTTCAGATTATAGTTTTTGGCTGTTTAATATTTTTATGCTCAATGGAAAAGATCAAACTAAGTAATTCCATCAACTGGATCAGCATTATGAACTGCATTCATTAGCATTAACGGAGAGAACATCTAACTTTTGGAATTATTTGCTGCATGTTAAAGAGTAAAGAAAAATCATATATATATATATATATATATATATATATATATATATATATGTACTGTTACTAATAATATTATTTCTACATTGATAATTCAAATAAAAGCACATTTCTTATGTTAACCAGTTATCATCATGGTTTGCTGTTACACATACACACTCAAGAGAGAGAGAGAGAGAATGTACATAGAAAGACCCATGGAAAGCAGAGCAGTCACTCAGAAGCCAGACTCCTTGCTGAGTTGGTTTTGATGAAGCACTTACTCTCCAGCTTTGTTCAGGACAGGTGCAGGACAAATGATGGATCTGGGCTGAACACTTACTGGTTTTTCACCTAAAAATAAAATATCATTTAGTTAATAAAGAGTCACACATCACTAACACAGTCACTTTAAAAGTCCCAAACACATCCGAATAAGAAGTGGCAGAAGTCCTGGCAGAAAGCTGGAAGGACCTGGAGGTGACAGGAACCTCACAAGAAGACCAACAGAGACAACTAACCCAGTATCTATCATGGGGGCCTTCAGAGACTGAGACATCAACTGAGGAGCATGCATGATCTGTACCTAGGTCCCCGCACACATGTAGCCGACAGGCTGCTCGGTGTTCAAATGGGGCGCCTGGCGAGTGGAGGGGGTGCTGTTTCTAACTTGGACTCTACTGCCTGCATTTGGATCACTTCCCCTGGCAGGGCTGCCTTCCCTAGCCTCAGGGGATGAAGAATGCTCAGTCCTGATGTGACTTGATAAGCTGGGGAAGGTTAATGGTGGGGAGAGGCTCCCCTTCTCTGGGGAGAAAGAGGAAGAGGGTACGAGATAAGTGGGAGGAGAGGAGGAAGGGGCACCCTCATGATGTAAAATAAATAAACTAATATAAAAAAATTTAAAAGACACACATAAAAAAAATAAAAAGAATTCAGATAGGGAATATGAGAAAGGTGACCAGTGTTTTTGTAAAGTCTAGCTAAAGAGGCAAAAAAAAAATCAAAAAATGTTGTAAACCTTGATAAAAAAGATAAATCCTAAATCATGATAAATGGTAAATCATTGCTGAGGACCTCTTAGCTAAATAAATAATATACAGTTGTAGATGTAACTTTTTATCCCTGAATATTTCAAATATCTCAGACTTTCAAAAATAAATTAGGTATTATTTCTAAGAAATAGAATTTAGAATGGATGGAGAAAGGGAGATTAGGGCCTAAGCATGAATGAATTTATCTCATGAGTTGACAAGATCGCTTATACACCATATAAGCACATACTAACAAGGTGAGTGCTTAAACCCCCTTAGAGTTTTAACAGGATGTGCAAAAATTCATCTAGGAATGGAACTATTGAAAAAATTTACATAAGCAAATGTATCATCTCAGAGTGTGAATAATGAAAATACAATTCTGCCTCCATCTATTTGAGAATTGACTTCAATAAACTGAATCTTAGCAATGTTTATAATATATTTGAGCCAAATGTGCAATCAAAAGGTGTCATAAAGCCCAGTACTTACAAATAACTACTGGACAGAAATAAAGTTCATCTTCAATGCTTAACTGTGAAATTTATTATGAACTATGCAAATACCATCAGAGAAGCAGCAGGGCTATAGGTAAATCCCTTTAAAGGCAGTGAGAGTTCATAGATTTTAGAGGCCGAAATACCCATTGATTGAAAAGGCATTTTATTGCTCGATCCCTATCCAGAAAGGCAAAGAGGATGGTCATCAGAAGAAGGTGAAAAGAGGGAACAAGTCAGGAGCCTGACACAGAGGACCTCTGAAAGGCTCAGCCCTGCAGACTAACAATGCAGATGCTGAGACTTAAGGGCAACCTTTGGGCAGAGTGCAGGGAATCTTATGAAAAAAAGGGAGAAACAGAAAGATCTGGAGAGGACAGGAACTCCACAAGGAGAGCAACAGAACCAAAAAATCTGAGCACAGGGGTCTTTCCTGAGACTGATACTCCAATTAAGGACCAAGGACCATGGAATGCATGGAGATAACCTGCACAGATGTAGCCCATGGCAGCTCAGTATCCAAGTGGGTTCCATTGTAATAGGAACAGGGACTGTCTCTGACATGAACTGATTGGCCTGCTCTTTAATTACCTCCCCCTGAAGGGGAAGCAGCATTACCAGGCCACAAAAGAAGACACTGCAGCCACTCCTGATGAGACCTAATTGACTAGGATCAGAAGGAAGGAAAAGAATAGCTCCCCTATCAGTGGATTTGGGGAGGGGCATGCATGCAGAGGGTGGAGGAAGGGAGGGATTGGGATGGAAAGAGGGAGGGAACCACAGGGGGGATACAAAGTAAATAAAATGTAATTAATAAAGAATTTTTTTTTAAAAAAAAGGCATTTTACTATAGGACAATATGCTCAGGAAACCAAGGCCTACTGAAGGGATGACTATCACCCAACACAGTTCTGGTGAACACTGGAGGCATAAAAGATCAACAGCACAAAGGCCAAATCAAATGACATAAAAAGAAATTCTTCAAGAAAATGAAAAGTTATTGGGCTTATACATTATAAATACCGAGAAGAGTTGGTAACAATAATGCTAAGGCAAGGAGTAGTGCGTCATCTGATACAATTACATTTTAAGGCAAGAGTAGCAAACATAAGTCTGGAGAAAGGGCAATTTGATAACATGACTGATGTGGTCCAAGACCTATGTTCAGCCACTTCAACTGTGCCTGTCACTACTCGTTTCACCACAGGAGGGTTATTTATACATCACAGACCCTCTTCTGAATAATGAGGTCACTGAGGACAGGGTCTAGTGTTGTCTCTACTAAATAATTATTACTATTTATAGTATTAGTATGGAGGGTTCATTTCTTATCTGATGAAAAACTGTAGCACAGGTGGTTATAATTTAATAGAGAAAGAAAGGAAGAAAAGGAAGGAAGGAAAGAAAGAAAGAAAGAAAGAAAGAAAGAAAGAAAGAAAGAAAGGAAGGAAGGAAGGAAGGAAGGAAGGAGGGAGGGAGACAGGGAGAGAGGGAGGGAGGGAAAGGAAGGAAGGAAGGAAGGAAGGAAGGAAGGAAGGAAGGAAGGAAGGAAGGAAGGAAGGAATTCTAGGCTGCGTAAATGGTTCAGAGGTTAAGAACACTTGCTGCTCTGCCAGAGGACCTGGGTTTGGATCCCAGAACCCACATGGCAGCTCACAGCCATCTATAACTCCAGTTTGAGAGAATGTCTTCTGGCCTCTGCAGGCACCAGGCACTCAGTAGGTACAAACATCTGTGCAGGCAAAACACTCATACACATAAATTCAAAAAATGCTTTTTAAAGAAGAAAAATACTCAAGGTTGCATGCAAGAAAGACATTGAGGTGACACTGGCATTCCTGGGGACTTACTCTTTGAGTATGTGCTGTTCGCAGTGAAGGTACAGAGGACACTGCTATCATGACTGTTCTGTGCGACCGCTTTTCCACTCAAAACAACTTGAAATTCCTCTAGAGGTAAAAAGAGAGGTAAGCACTGTAACCAGCGTTTTACTAAAAACAACCATGGTGTCAAGTAGTTCAGAACACATTTCCTCATTCTATCCTTTTCACCAATAATGGTGAGGATGCAACTCCAGCCAAGCTTGCTTTCTTTAGACTGTCCAGGTGTGTATAGCAGAGTCAGCATTCGCTGTCACATGAAGTCTTCCAATAGTAACCCGGGTATTAGAATGAAATATAGTAATGGTTACCTGGTTCATCTCAATTCCCAGAATTCTATCCTCAATTTTTTTTTTCAAGAAAGAAGGTTCTCTTTTTCTTTCCACTCTCAGCCATTACATTCATGTAGTCAATAAAGACACTTGTCAACCTGTTTTGTCTTCTCTCCCGCACATCTTAAATACATCAGAAGTTCTCTCATTTGGATTACTGACAGCTGTGATAGTCAGTAGAGGAAGTTGATTTGCTGTCTCCCCATCAACAATGTAAGAACAGGCACTAAGTTTTAGAGAATCAATGAATATGAAAGAATATACTGAAAGAAAAAGTTGACAGACCGAATCTCGATAGGCAGAGAATATTTGCTGCTTGACTACAACTGAGTATGTTAGTGATGCCAGTGATGATGACCCACTGTCACAAAGGCAAACTGAAGCGAAAGAAGTGTTTCAGAGTTGAACTGAACAAACTACAATTTAGGAATTGGACAGCTGCAAGGAAAAGGTGGTTTGGGAACTCCATCAAAATAGTCAGCAAAGTTTCCCTAGAAAGAACACAAAAATTATGCAAGCATACACACAGATATATACCCATGAACAGACACACACACACAAGCCCACATGTTCACATCACAGATCTATCTCGTGGTAAAGTTCCCACTGTGTCATGAAAGGAGGCTGGCGTGTAAGTTCTAATAGCATGCAGGTAAATGTAACATGTAACATGCAATTCAGGAAGAGCATGGGTGCTGGTGTCAGATAGACAAGGATCTAAGGGACAATGACTAGCGGGATATCGCAAATCCATGAATCTGCCTCTGCCTCACTTTCTCCATCTGCAAACTGGGGGGGGGGGGGGGGGTTGATGCAAATGGCGTCATTAAGGCCATAGGTGAAACTGTATGTTCGAAGGACGCAGGAGTCTAATAAAGAAAAGCGGTTGTTTCAATGTACTTGCCACTGACTTGTCTTTGTTTTCTCTAGGAAACTAATGATCTCCATCGTTAAAAGAGCCCCTGCTGCTCTGGAATGACGTCCTGTATGATTCCCGCTCAGCATCGCAGCGATCATGCACGAGAGAGATAGAGGATGCAGAGCTCCGGGGCTGTCTAGAAACCATGAAGCTCTGGGGTCAATTACACGACACACACCCCTCTCCACCTTCAGGAGTCAGCATTTTTCCTTTTCTAAGTACAGTTGTGCTGAAAGAAACCCTAGGTCAACCTGAGGAAGAAAATAGGCCAGGGAGAAGCAGACTGTCTGGGCAAGGACTTCTGGGAAGTGGGAACCTGGGCCTGCTTTGAGCGACAGCTGATGAGGCCACCTGCTTCCTCCCTGCACTCTGCCCCTAAGTCACTTCTGTACAGGCCTGGAGATGGCAGATATGTTCACATAGGCAGGTCACTAGAGTGCATAGCTATGAAGGCTTCAGATACTTGACCATCAAATCAGATGAAGGATTCTATATTTTATTTCATTTGCCACAGAAAAGGTCTCAAACATGAACTAAATATACAGAACATTCTAAAAGCCTGTCACACAATATGCTCATTATTTAAAATAACATTCGAATCTTAAAAATTTGAATTTAAAATAGAAATATTTCAAGGAATTATTTAAAAATTCTTACACACAAAAAAGATGCCAAAAAAGTTAATTTTGCTATTCTCCTTCCAATATGAGTTTCAAATCATATATTTTAGCTGAGGGAAAAGAAAAACAATCTCTCTTATGGTATTTTTAAATTCTAAACACTTACCCCCGACACAGACACTTGAAGGACTCAATTCCAGGATATCAGTACATGATTGAGCTAGTACCTGAAAAAGAAAAAAAAAATAAGAATAAGCTATAAGACTAATTGTAACATGTGAATCCTGTATTTGCTAACAAACTTGAGGTCATTTTCCTATTTCAAAAGATGTCAGCTATGAATCAACTCACCATTATACACAGAGCCACAAAACTCTATGGAAATATTTGTGTTCTCTTGGGGTATATGCTAACACTGTACAGAGTGAAATCCCTATTTGATCAGAGAAAATCCATATAAACAGAGGAAAGAGGTGTACTGCCTCAAACTCAGGTGGCCTTGAATGTGAACAGACAACTAAAATGTTCTCATATCAAAACCAGTGTTATCCTTCCCTGTGTGGCAAAAACAAGATAACAAACCAAACTGCTTGCTTCATGCTGGTGTGTGTTTATTTTCTGTTTTTTTTTTTGTTGTTGTTGTTTGTTTGTTTTTGTTGTTGTTGTTGTTTGTTTGTTTGATTTTGTTTTGGTTTTTTGAGACAGGATTTCACTGTGTAGCCTTGGCTGTCTTGGACTAGCTTTGTGTACTAGGCTGGCCTTGAATGCACAGAGATCCACCTGAGTGCTGGGGTTACAAGTGTGCGCCAATGTGCCTGGCTGTTTTCTGTTTTGAGGTTCAAAGATTATCAACTTTTTTTTTTTTTTACAACCCTGAGATTTCACCTTACACCCATCAGAATGCCCAAGATCAAAAATTCAAGTGACAACACATGCTGGAGAGGTTGTGGAGAAAGGGGAACCCTCCTCCACTGCTGGTGGGAATGTAAACTTGTACAACCACTCTGGAAAGCAATGTGGCGCTCTCTCAGACAACTAGGAATAGCGTTTCCTCAAGATCCAGCCATACTACTCCTAGGCATATATCCAAAAAAGGCTCAAGTACACAAAAAGGACATTTGCTCAACCATGTTTGTAGCAGCTTTATTTGTAATAGCCAGAAACTGGAAACAGCCCAGATGCCCCTCAACTGAAGAATGGATGCAGAAACTGTGGTACATCTATACAATGGAGTATTACTCAAAATGAAAAATAAGGATTATCAACTTTTAACTGCTTCTTTACTTGGCAATGTGCTCCTAGTCCGTTTCCTAGGCTTAACTCCCAAGGACACGCATCTTCCTCGTGCTTATCACATTTTCAGAACTCCAATTCCTTTTGAAAGCCAGACATTACTCTCAAGAACACAGTCTGCGTTCAAGCCTGTGTAAAACACTCGAGCAGAACAGCTCCACTTAATGTGCTATGAGACACAGAAACCACCACACAAGGCTACAAGTGAAAAATGAAGTAAGCTGAGCCTGACAGTCACCACAGTTACGTCTCTGTCTCTATGTTTAGAACTTCTCTGCACTACATTATCAAAGTCAGACAAGGTCCAGATGGCCTGTGATCAGCATCTGCTCTTGATGGAACCAGAAGACAGATGCAAAGCAGTGGTTTTCACATCCCCTGCTTGTAACGGGACAGGACAGAAGTCCTGCACCAAAAAGATTACAGGCCTGTCTTGTGCTTTTTCACTACAGTGGAAACACAGACGCTCTGCGTGTAAGAGCACCAGTAACATCACGGCCATGTCCCTGATGAATGTGCACCCAAACAAGGGGGCAACACTTGAACTTTTGAAAGTTTTTCTCCAGAGGAATACAACTCTTCACGTTACAATTGGAGTGAGACTTCAGTGACTGGGAAACAAGCCGAGAAAGATCTTACATTTTTAAAAAGCTGCCAAAACTCATGGATAACCAATGACAAAAGCTAATACACACTTGTGGAGGAGTGGAATTTCAAGTCAACAACATCTTTAAATATTTTCACAGAATCGGGGTAACAAGACTCTAAAGGAAACAGCGTAGAACAGTTTTGTGGGTTAAGACTAAACTAAAAACATTCCAACTAATGAAAAAGAGCATGCCTGAGTTTAGGCTAATAAGGGAACTTTTTTTATAAAATAGTGAGTCACAAACTTGAGATCACCATGTGACATAATCCAGTTGAATTTGTTTAGCATTTCCTCCCTTTTCCAGAAATTGAACCTTATACTGAAAGTGGAACTTATGTCATCTATGAGAAGATATTGTTTGAAAAAGTAAATCAGATTACGCAGCAGAACCAACTTCATGACAAACATACTATTTTACACATGTAATGCCAAATAAAAAATCTGGTTAGGTTGAAGAAAATAAACTAGAAATAGCATTAAAAAATGTTTCCCTAATCTTCAAACCATCAATCGCGGTAAGACACAGATAAGTCACGATAATTTTTAAGAGAAAGCATCTAGTCCTTCTATAAGTTTTGAATTTTAGAAATACAGGATAATTCTGAAACAAAGTTCACCAAAATTACTTCCAAATGAAAAAATACTCAGAGAAGGGGTGGGTAGACAAGAATGACAAGAGAGTTAACGCAGATTTAGAAAGAAAAATGATTTATACATTTGTTTTCCTCGTCTACAATTTGCCATATTCTAAACTAACAAGGCAATAACTAGAAATGGAACACTTTGATGTTATAATGTAGATAGTTTACATATAATACCTTAAATAATAGCCACCATTAGAACACAATAGTTCATAAAATCTTCTCTACAAGTAATGATAGCAAGTGAGAAGCTCACGATGTTAAAATGGGGATCTTCCAGGTAAGATGGTCAAGTAGAAGCTGCCTCTTCATGAAGGATTGAAGAAGAACCAGGATAAGACACTGGCTCCAAAGAAAGAGAACCAGATTGCTGGTAAAGTACCAGACTGTGGATAGGGTACCTAAACACTACAGATAAAAACACAGCGGATCATGGAAGATGCCATGTGCACGCATAGGGATACCTGTTGGGGACAGAGGAAGGAAGGCAGAAAGCTTCTCCAAAGCTTAAGGCTTGTGACCCTGGTGAAAAGAGACTTGGATTCCTACCTCGAGCATAGGCCTCCCAAACATGTGCAGGTCTAAAAGCAAAATGGTTTTGATGAAACAGTGATTCCTTGGGCAGATGGTTCCATGGTTCTACAGAATCGCACCTTCACTCTGTGTGACCCACAGGGATGGTGCTGGGCTGAGCACCATCTTGAGAGACAAGTTACTGTTTGAAACTAACCTATCCTTGGGGGCTAAGGACGGGGAACAGACAAAGGATAAGGATTTGGAATTTAATCTGCAGCCATCCTAGGGTAAGAATAGCTCTTGGATGCAGTTGTAGAGAGTTGGAGGACTAGAAGCCCCGAAGCCAAAAATAGTACATGGTGGAAGGCTGGGCTTAGGAAATGGGGTGTGTTAGGAGAGGTCCCTCTTGGTTGCCTGGAGCAGGTCTCATCAACTACAAATAACCCAGAATTTGGGTAACTTGGATCTTGGAAGCTCAGTGAATAACACACCACCACTGAAATCAATTATATGTTATTCATTGACATAAAACCCAAAATGCTAAAGCTCTCATGGTCTGCTACAGCCGCATCCCAGGGAGTAGGAAAAATATTCAGGAGATCCTCCAACTTGTAAAGATCTCAGTGTGTAGCTTTTCACACTTCCAGTGAATTTGGAAAACACCTCCAGATAAAACACTAACTACCCTAGGGAACTGTATGAACTAGAGAGTTCATAAGGTTGAGAGAGTCTACACAGCACAGACTGCAAAGCTGAGTGTGAGCAGCAATGACCCTATTAGGCAAAGAAGGGAAATTATAAAAATAAAAATTTGAGACCCCACAGATATGGAACTCAGTAGGAACGTCCCCAAATACAGCTGAAAGACATATGCACAACCACAGCACAGAAACACGGTAATTATGGAAAAGCAAAACGTCATGACTCGACACACTAAAAATCTTCAACTGCTGCTTTAAAGACACTGAAACACTCCTCAAAATGTTCCACAAATAGAAAGAGAAGGCAGAGTGCCAAATTCATCCTCCAAAGTCAATATTGCTCCAGCATCAACTAGATAAGGGCATAAAACAAAAACACACGCATATGAATACAGAGACAGAGAGACAGAGGTCTGTAAGCCAGTTTCTCTGGTGAACATTACCAAAACTCTTATAAATCATCTTGTGAATATACTAAGAATCACACACACACGAGAACAGAGAGGTGACTCAGTGGTTAAGAGTACCTGCTGCTCTACCAGAAGACCCAGGTCCCCAGCACCTACATGTTGGTTCACAATCACCTGTCACTCCACCTCCAAGGAATAGGATGCCCTTTTCAGGCTTCTGCAGGCACTAGATTTGCACATGCTACATGTACATATGTGCAGGCAAAAATTCATATATATGAAATGAAAGTAACTCATTTTTAAAGAAAATTAACAAACAAACCAAAAAAAAAAAAAAAGAAACCCACAAATTACATTCAAGTAGGGCTTACCCCATGCTAAGGGTGCAAGATGGGCTCAGCACACTAATGCAATACACAGAGACTAAAAAAAAAAAAACAAAAACAAAATTACATCGTCTCAATAGATGTAGAAAGGCCTTCGACATCCCTCTTGATGAAAGCCCTTAAAAACAAAATAAAAAGAATACAATCTAATATACTGAAGATTATGTACAGAAATAAAAAACAGACTCTAATATACTAAAGATTATGTAAAATAATTTCACAGAGAACATAATGGTAAATGGGGAAACACTGAAAACATTTTCTTTAATGTCAGAAATGAGACAAGAGTATCCATTCTCACTGTTCTTGTTTAATGTAGTACTTGAAGCAAAACTAGTGCAAAAAATATAAGAGAAAGAAATTAAAAGGAATACAAACAGGAAAAGAAACATATCAAGGTATCCCTACATGCAGATGACATGATAAATCCTTTCAGAAAAGCCTCATGGTCTAAAGGAAAAATAGGCCACACAGCAGCCTCCCTATACACCGATAAAAACATTCCCGAGAATGAAACACGGGAAACATCAGTCACAATAGCTTCAAGGAAAGAAAAAGACAGGACTAACCCAAAGCAATGAAGTGACAGACCTCTATGTTGAAAATGTTAAGATAGAAAAATGGAAGAAGC